AGTATTTTTATTTGTAAGTATTTACACAATGCACATTTAAGAAAGAATTTACACCGTCTTTTATTTCCTCCATGTTTAGCTGCTGATGTCCACAGAGCACAGGCCAAGGTCGAAGAGGAGGAGGTGAAGAGGCATGTGTTCTCACTCTGGAGGTTTAGACTTTGACTAAAAGCAGACGCACCGACTCCAAAACTAATGAAGTTCCAAAGTCCCAGCTGAGCGCGCTGCTGTGGGCCGCTCCAGTCAGCTCCAGTTTAAATAAATACGGCTTTATTATCACCAACGTCAGGCCAAATATGTTACAGTCGATCTCATGAGAGGTGGAAATCCTTAAAAAAACTGTGAAATGTGGTGTTCTTATTGCGGCTTGGTATGCTGAAAATAAGAGGTTCTGATTCTGAACTAGAAGAGAATAAAAACTAAGCTATACTGAGTTCATCTTGCTGTTAGTGTCATAGTACTCGAGACAGGTCTTGGGTCTTGCGGTCTTGGTCTCGGTCTCAAATTCGACCGCATTTGGGCTCGGTCTTGTCTCGGTCTTGAAGGCACTTGGACTTTTGTCTCTGTCTTGAAGCCACTTGGACTCCGTCGTGAAAAAAAGACAAAAGATGGTCTCGATTTGGTCTCGATGGGCCGTGGTCTCGGTCTTGTCTCTGTCTCGGCCTTTAAAAGTCTCTGTCTTGACCCTCAGAGGTCTTGGTCTTGTCTCGATCTGGGGTCTTGGCCTCATTTAGTGCGGTCTTGATTACAACTCTCTAGAGTCAAGATAGGATTTCATTGTAATTCTATATTCTCGTAGCTGGTTGTTGGAACAGCGGTAAATACACTGAAAAATGACAAATTCACTTACATACCTTTTTAAGTGGTGTTAAATGCAGTATTACTTCCTCCATTCTAAATATTGCATTTTTAACCAAGACTTGACAAAAAGTAAAGGTGTTGGCAGTTTCTTAAAGGTCCTATATTAAGCAAAATTGACTCTTGTGAGCGTTAAGCCATGTTATAATGTTGTTACCTCATCAAAAACAGACCTGGAGTTGTGCTTTGTTTCATTCACACATGTTTGAGTAATCCTGCATTATTAGTCTGTCTACATCTTCAAAGCTCAAAATGCTGTGTTCAACCGTGCGATTTCATGAAGCTGTAGTTTTTGAGTTAACAGCTAATTTTACGTTCCGTAGCGGTAGGCATTTCCAGGCCTGAAATTATTCACACGATTCTAGTGAAGGTGTAGACTCTGGCCACATTAACATGATGTTTTTTAATTCCAAATTCATTGTTCTGAATTAAATAGTTCAGAATTAAAATATTCTCCTTCAAGTTTACATGGAAATAATAATTCTGAATTGAGTTTATATGGAAAACATGTTAAATCCCCTTTATTTCATTCTGCTCAACGTGGACACAAACGTATTTACGTCGACCGGAAGAAAACACACACTTCAGCTGCTACGGGCTTTTTTGTCATTACGGTTTCTCGTTACGCCACGCACACAAACACGATCCAAACTTTTTTCGCAGTTCTTATAATAATGAAGCAGCAGCTGGAGAATTCTCGCATCACGCTTTACGTCTGTCGGCTGAGGAGGAGAAGGGGAGAGTGTCGGAGAAGGGAGGAAGAAGACAAACTGAGTCGAGGGCTGCTCTACCTCAGCCCACTCCCACATCCAGCTCACAAATCCAAAAAGACGTGGATGAAAGCCCAAGGACTGGTGGAGCTGGATCGTCCGGATCGCATCAGAAAGGCGACTCAATGAGCATGCGCTAATCAACCGGAATTATTTTTAAGAAGACTAAACATTTACTAGTCTGACAGTAGGCGGGTACCTTTTTTTATTTAACTATTCATGATGTATGTAATGCGCCATTAACAGGGCTAACTGGTATGTTACGCTTTCCCCAAATCCCGTAGGAAGAAGGGCAATAACGTCTTTCCCCTTATTAAAAAACATTCTCTTTGGTCCAGGCTTTAAATCCTTGATCTCAGGAATCGTTGCCAACACAGAATGTATGGCTTTTCGCTGATTGGCTGGTGCCTGAGCTCGCATTTCCAGGGTTTTTGCAAACCGTTTAGTGTATTCCAATTCCTGACCTAGTTGCTGGAGAGAAATGAAATTGAGCGGAAACACTAGGTGGCACCAGCCTAAACGTTTACATGATCGAGGAATAAATTAATTTGGCTTTAAAATCTTTAAAATTGGAATAAACCATCCACTTACTTTGGAATTAAGTTTAATTCCGAATCATTATTTTCATTAGGAAGTGATGATGATGATTAACTGTTTACATCTTGATCTTTTTAAAGCAGAATTCATTTCTATTCAGAATTAAATTGTGTTTATTCAGAATTAAAACTCTCATGTAAACAATTGTGGGGCACTTCCTGTATTTCCACATGACATCACAAGGTGGAACTGTAAATATTCAAGGTTTGTGTGTTAAACGTGTGAATGAAACAAAACACAACTCCAGGATATGAGGATATAAGATTATAATATACATCAGACGATAACATAATATGGGCCATTTAAGCAAGAAATTACAAAAAGGAAAACTCATTATTGTACTTTTGTTTGTAGGGCCAATTCTATTTTAAAATCTGTAGCTCTAATCAGATTTTGGTGCGCGCGTAACTGCAGCCAGCCCTTTAAGATCGCTTTTGAAGTTATAAAAAGCGTTATAACTTGACCATAATGAGTCCTGAATGAGCTTACAATCCCACTCAAATTTGTGGTTACGCCTCATGTCAAACTCACTGGGGTGTTAAATTCTTCCACATATCAGGCATTTTCATCTCTGCCCTCACCTTACCAGCGTGGCCGCCGCTGCCGTTTCATTCGCCCGTCTGTTTCCTGTCCGCGCTCTGACTGACAGCTCCTTTTGTTTACGTTAACGGGCCCCACACCTGACCACCAGCGCTTCCATGTGGTCCCGCGAACTTCACCGCGCCGTTAGCCGTCATCGCACCAGCCTGTAGTCGTCCAGCGTTAGCTCCTACGTGTTGTATTTGGAGCCGTTTCAACATAATTAAAGTCATATTGAATAAAGTGCACTTGTGTCGCAGCCAACACAATGAATCTTACTGTAGCGGTAGTTTACTAATGGCCTGTGAGAGGAGGAAAAACCCACTTGGCGCTTTATTAGGCTTTATGGATTTTTATTGGCTTCTCCTTCCAGATTATTTGATTGGAATGACATACGGTAGCGTGTTAAATTCATAAACTGATGCTGAACAGGATTGCAGTTTTCTTTATTGGATGTGGAACTTTTTACTGTCATGCAAGAGTTGGTTTTTGGAAGTGAGATCAGCATCTTGCAAAATGTTTGTTAGTTGTTTCGTGGTGTGTTCCAGGTTCCATTTGACTCACTGTTTAATTTCACAAATTGCTTATGTTGACGTCAAAATAGTGTTTTATAAAGAAGGGGCTGGTCACATGAGAACGCTTGCGGGTAAAAATGAAAAAATATTTTATCTGAAGAGCCTTTCGTTTAGGTGGTGACGGCGTTTTTGGGACTTAAAAAAGCAAAAATCTGAAACCACCCTCCAGAGTAGAAAAGTTGAATACACTGCGTTGTAGCATTTCCGTCTACACTGCCAAAGATGCAAAACTCTGGTCAGATTGCGTACGCGTTTACGTCACATACATACAGTACACAGAAACCTGACATGCATACCAAATCAAATTCACCACATTTTTGCGTCACTGTATGCACGCAGATTTCCTCCTAATGCTCATCTAAACGCTGAATAAAAAGTGAAAACGCGATGCCACTTTTTAGTCTTGTGCTCAGACCGTCATCATATAAACGTATAAACGTCTGGGCCATGGGTCATTTGGTACCAGGTCACGAAAGTGCGAACACCCCTCTTCCCGTACACCGCTCGGGCCATCCCCCCATCCCAGACGCAGCGCAGACTGTCCCCTATACATCGCGTGGGCCGCTCCTCTAAACCAGACCTAAAACCAGGACTAAACCAGGAATAATACTGGACTAAACCAGGACTAAACCAGATCTAAAACCAGGACTAAAACCGGGTATAAAACCAGGTCTAAAACAGGACTAAACCAGGACTAAAACCATGACTAAAACCATGTCTAAAACGGGTCTAAAACAGGTCTAAAATCAGGACTTAACCAGGACTAAAATAGGACGAAAAACCGGATCTAAAACCATGTCTAAAACAGATCTAAAACAGAGTCTAAAACAGGTCTAAAACCAGGACTAAACCAGGACTAAAACCATGTCTAAAACAGGGTCTAAAACAGGACAAAACCAGGACAAAAACCATGTCTAAAACAGGTCTAAAACAGGGTTTAAAACAGTTCTAAAACAGCATGGACTTAAGTCTTGGCTACAAAAAAAAAGTTACAGTTATAGTGCACCTTTTGATTAATTGCATGAGCTACGGCAGAAACAAGTTAATTGGTCAATAGTAACTAATCAATTTTTGAGATAATCATGTAACTTTAAATAGGTAGTTGTAATCTGGACTTTACACTGACTCCAAAACCTGGTATGTGCTGAGATAAGAGGTTTTAAAACTGAATATCATTTTTAGTTTTGCCTGTAACACAGGCTGTATAAAGAATTGGACTAAGGCGGATTTGAAGACAAGCTCCATATTAGGAAAAGGAATTTATTTACAGACAAAACAATTCTTGGAATGCTGAGTATCTCATCTCGAGTGAAACTTAGATGCTACCAGTAAAAACCAGCAGGCTCCAAGTTCTGATTGATTTCACAAAGCTGGTGCAGAGGTTTCACTGTACGTTGGCATAGAGTTGGACGTAGTAACAAATGGCATTCAACGTGTGCCAATTTTGGGGGTCTGGGAACTCTCATATGCACTTACCCTGGTCTCGGCTCGGTATACTTGGTGTTTTTCACAGCAGTCAAATAGAATTACATCAACACCGAGCTATTTTTATAAATGAACGACAGAATTTGTGTAAGAATTTATGAAAAATACTAAGTTATTTTTTTGCTCTCGTCTGCAGGTATCAGATCCACACCGGCCTCCAACACTCCATCATCAGACCCACCCAGCCCAACTGCCTGCCCCTGGAAAACGTCACCTTACCGCAGAAGTTGAAGCAGGCTGGCTACTCCACTCACATGGTCGGGAAATGGCACCTGGGCTTCTACAAACGAAACTGCCTCCCCACTCAACGCGGTTTCGATACGTTCTTCGGTTCCTTGCTTGGAAGCGGCGATTACTATAGCCACTACAAATGCGAAGGTCCCGGCATGTGCGGGTACGACCTGTACGAAGGCGAAGAGGCCGCTTGGGACCAGGATCGCGGCATGTACTCGACCATGATGCTTACCAGAAAAGCTATTAGTATCTTAGCGAACCACGACCCCAATCAGCAACCCTTATTTCTTTACCTAGCGTTTCAGGCGGTCCACTCTCCGCTCCAAGTTCCGGCACGCTACCTCGAACGCTACAAAGGGATCCCGAACTTGATACGACGCAAGTATGCCGCCATGGTGTCCTGCCTTGACGAAGCCATCCACAATTTGACGATGGCGTTGAAGCGTTACGGTTATTACGACAACACGGTGATAGTTTACTCCTCGGACAACGGAGGGCAACCCCTAGCGGGCGGAAGCAACTGGCCCTTGAGAGGAAGCAAGGCGTCGTATTGGGAAGGCGGCATCAAGGCGGTTGGTTTCGTCCACAGCCCGTTACTGATGAACAAAGGGACTAAGTGCAGATCTTTGGTTCACATCACGGACTGGTTTCCTACTTTGGTGACTCTCGCCGAAGGAACCTTGGAGGAAGATCTCAACTTGGATGGGTACGACGTTTGGGAAGCTATCAGCGAAGGTCGTCCATCCCCGCGGCAAGACATTTTACACAATATCGACCCGATTTATATTAAAGCTAAGAACGGTTCTTGGAAAGCAGGGGTATGGAATTTGGAATACAGCGGTTCAAGCTGCTTTGCGGGTTGGACATTGGAAACTGCTAACCGGGGTGCCTGGGTACAGCGACTGGGTTCCTCCGCAGACTTTTTCCACCCAGCGGCTCACCCATCGCTATCATAACGAACGGATACGGTGGGATCGGGGGAAATCTCTCTGGTTGTTCAACATCACCGCCGATCCGTACGAGCGGGTGGATCTCTCTCAGAGGTACCCGCATATCGTCAAGAAGATGCTCATGCGGCTTGCACATTACAACAAGACTGCAGTGCCGGTGCGCTATCCGGCCAAAGATCTCCGCTCCAATCCGCAGTTTAACGGAGGAGTTTGGGGCCCGTGGTACAAAGACGAAAAAGACAGACAAGACGAGGAACACATAAACAATCATCTGACGGAACTTTCGAATAAAAAGCGATGGAAAAAGAAATTCAAACATCGGAAATTGAAAAGGCGAGTTGAAGAGGAGTAAATGGTAATATTTGTGGAAAAAAAAAAAATTAATTTCTCAGGGATTGACGTGTTCTATTTCAAGAATGTACGTCGAATAAACTAAAACTAGACCCCAGTGTACTGAACTGTGATGTTATAGTTGTAGAGTATGCTGTAGAGACACTTACTGTAAACACTACTGTCAAGCCAAAATATAATAAAGACCTCGTGAATGTTTAGGTCCTGGTAATGATTTTTTTTTTTTTTCATAAGGTTGCACAAATTGGGCCAAATTGAAAATCAATATTGGTATCACATTGTCAAAAGTTTCACAGTAATACCGTGGGCCAACACAATATATATCGAATTACAAGTCTCTTTCATTGTTCATTTCAATTCATTGTTTTGGTGCAGTAATAGCTAAAATACTGAGTGAACTACATAGACCATGATCCTTTGCTCCATTACAGTTCAGACTACATGAAAAGTAATGCAAATAATAATCAGAATCATAATTTTTAAGCTCTTTAAATTTTAATTATTTGGTTTATGATGGAACAAAAGTCTTGTCAAGGCATTTTAAAAGGAAAAAGTTGCATTTTCACAATTTTGTTAAGCTTCTACAAAATATCGCAATAGATATCGTACCGTGGGATGTATATCATGAAAATACCGTATTGAGAGATTTGAATATCGTTACATCCCTAGTTTAATACCATACTAAGGGACTTTCCCATGTGGACAAATAGAGTAGCAGACCCTCCACTAGAAATGTTACAGCAGGGGTCTCCAACCTGTAGCTCGAGAGTTACCAGTACCTCGCCAAAAGGATTTCAAAATTATACCATTGTGCTGATGAACAGAATTTTTGTGTGTGTGTGTGTGTGCACATAAAGCAGATGTCTCAGAGAAAAAATTGAGAAATTAAAAAAAATTAGTAGTAATATAATGTGACAATTTTTTATTCTCCATTAGACTCCTCCAATGTCTCCAGTGGAAAAAAAAAAATAATAATAAAATAAAATTTAAAAAATAAAATATAATAATAATAATAAGTGGAAAGTAATCAGTAAATTACATAAATAAATAAATGAATATAGGGGAATTTTGTTTACTTTCTTTTTTTTTTTTTGAAGAACAAAAATTTGGTTAATTACATGACTATTACTATTACTATTGTAAATGTATAATTCTAAAACCCAACGTTTTGCACTAATCCGCTAAAATGAGTAGCTCTCTGGCATTTTTGTTTATTAAAGGTAGCTCACCAGAGGAAAAAGGTTGGAGACCCCTGTGTTACAGTGAGAACAGTTAAAATCCTTCATATTTCAACTATTTTCTGAAATTCAACAGCAAAAATATCGACAGATGACAGTAGTAGTAGTAGTGTTGTTTTGTTTGTTTTGTTTTTGTTACTGTTAAATCCTTTGCTAAAGCACGGGGCGAATAAAGCTGTGATGTTACTTTGGATAGAAATTGCATGTTTTACACAGGCATAGATGACAGCCCACATGTGTACTGTACATGTGGACTTACTTATAGAGAACTTTTATTTTTCTACGTTGTGTTGCATGCTTGAACTAGTGCACCCTTTCCTCTCCCACTTAGCCTATTAGATAAACAGACAGTTCCCATATATTACGGTTATAGATAACAAATCAAACATAGCGCTCGTATGTGACATAAACAGATGTTGAATTGATGTGATGTGAAAATGGATGCGTTGGTTTTATAAGCACAGTCCGCCTTTCCTTTATTGAAAGAGTATGCTCCCCCTTTCGGATATGTTCTTTTCTGGGACGAGGCCAAAGTGAATGTAAGACAAACAGACTAAATAAAAGTCCTGGACACTAAGCTCTGTGTCTCTTAATGCCTGCTTTGGATTTCATTACACTCTTGTTTCTCCTTTTAAAGAATGTTTTATATTGGCAAGTTCACCCGGCGCCACAGACTACAAGCTACTTATGGAGGAAAAGACTGGACAGACTTGTAAAACATGCTTCAGATATTACCTTATAAATCTGGAATCTATATCTAATCTGTTACTTCTGTCAAATTTGCCTATATTTAATGCCTCTGGAACCCACAAAAACGTCATTCAGATTTAACGTAGAGCAAAGGTTATTTCTGCCTAACGAATGAATTACCTAAAGGACCTACTATACTTGATTTGGAACCGTTAGTAAAGAACAGAATTAACTGTTAGGGATAGTCACTGGCAATTTTTCTTAACACAAATAGATTTTATAATATACTTACAGTAAATGCCTCAGATGGGAACATATACATTCTGTAAAATTAAAACTTTTCTAAGTACATTTTAAATAGTAATTTGGAATATCAGCGAGGAATATTAGTGATAATTTTTAGGAGCAATAGTTCCATATAAACCTCAGCTTTCATAAAATTGGGGCAGTTAAAACAAGGTAGACTACTACATTCACAATTGAACCTGGGTCGCTTGTGTCTAAACCTGCATATAGAAGACACACAACTTTTTCTAGAATATGATCAGGCTCATGTGAAAGCTCAGAAGCTCCAGAATTCCCTAGCCACGCTGGTGCCACCTAGTGCCTCGGCTCAGTTTAATGTCTCTCCAGCGACTAGGTCAGGAATCAGAATACACTAGACGGTTTACAAGAACCATGGAAGTTGTAGACCGCGCACCGGCCAATCATCGAAGAGCTGTGAAGACATGACATCAAACTCAAGCATCTGGGTCCCTTTTGTGGTACAGCACAACAGTAAACAAAGCAGTTAAGATGGATGTAGACGAAGACAGACATTCTGTGTTGGCAACGATTCCCAAGACCGAAGATTTAAAGCCGGAACAAAGATAATGTTTGGTGAATTTTATCAAGGGGAAAGATGTTATTGCCCATCTTCCTACGGGATTTGGCATTACATACATCACGACCAAATAGCAGTGATTGGTTAAAAAAAAGTACCCGCCCACCATCGAGCGAACGAATCCTAATGCTGCAGGGTCAAATGGTTTCCATGAAGTGAAACTGGCTGATGAATCAGGCTAAGAATTCCCTCCCTGAGCTGCAGAGGCTGCACTAGCACTGCTTTATGACTGGCTGCAGGTGCTAGGTGTTGTCAGAGTTTTCAGCTTGTCCAAGAAAGGGTGGAAGTAAAATTCTGGAGACCAACTGGACGTCTTAAGCAGGAGAAGTTTATTTACCATCAATAATACAGGCCCGGGGGAACTTGAAAAGACAGCATAGTGTGATTTCTAAAGAGAACATAGTGTGATCTTTGAGTGTTTAAGCCCCTTGACTCTGCTTCCAAAGGAGGAGGTTTATAAATCAAGTTGTGAGACTATGAAGGCCAGTAGGCACCAGCTAGACAGCAATATGCCACAATTTAGATAATGGTGTGCCAATGGTATGCCAAGGGAAGATCATGGTGTAAATATAGCTTTTGTGTCAATGTTAAACTAAGATGTACGTGGAAAATAAATTACTTCAATTCTCTTACACTAGGGTTTAGGTAGAGACCTTTTTTTTTTTTAGGTTTAAACCAACTGGATTACAGCTTTGAAACTGGCAACACAAATGAGAAACTCGTGAGGCTCATTCTGTTTTCTGAGTGGACGTTTTTGGCCTTGAGACCCAAAATATCAAATCATAACATAAATAAATGGGACAATGTTATTATAATAAAATAATAAATCAGTATTATCAATAGCTATGCACTACCAGTCAAACATTTGGACACGCTCTCTCATTCAATGTTTCTTTTCTTTTTTCTTACTTGCGCAAGCTTTGTGGGGACCGTGCATTTTCTGTTGCTGCCCCACAGCTGTGGAACCAGTTGCCATTAGAGTTTAGACAAGCAGAGTCTATACCTGCTTTTAAATCACCCCTAAAACCACACCTTTTTTTTCTCGGGCTTCTAACAAGTTAGATGTACATTTCTTATTGTTGAGTATCTTTGTTACGTGCCAGGGGTGTCTAGGGGGTGGCACGGTAACTGGAAAAAGATGTCATAAGAAAACGGGTGTGGAAAAAAAACTGGAAGCGTGGCGAGGTGTCAAAAAAGAAATAATATTTATTACAAAAGTGACTAAATAGATGTACAAAAAAATCAGATAAGGAGTAAATAATACAAAAATAAACAACTAAGGTTCGCTGGATCCACTGCTCCGGGCTTTTATACTCCTGCTGATCAGACGGGCCTGGTGAGGCTGATCTGCGGGGCGGATCTGAGGTGGGTGGAGGTAAAGCCAAACAAGAGAAGTAGGACAGCACCCGTCACAATCTTATTGTTTTCTATGTTTTTTAGTAGTTGTATTGTGACATTGACAGTGATTGTCCTTGTTTATTCTATGTTTGTGTACAACACTTTGGCCAGCTGTAAAGTCTTTAAAGTGCTGTAAAACAGTGTTAGGAAGGTGACTTTTAAAATGTATTTCCCTACAGATTACAGATGACATACCCTAAAATGTAGTTTGTAACGTAATCCATTAAATTACTTAAAGTGAGTAACGTGATCTGAATACTTTGGTTTACTTGATATTGTCATGCTTTTTAAAACTACATGAATGTAGCAACCACATCCTGACAATTCTCGTTGGTTGTCTTCAAATTGGCTGTTGAGCTCAAGTCTCCATGAACAGGCACGTGTTTGCTGTAGAGAAGCAAAGACGCGGAAATCTTAACATAAGATCAGTCTGCTTAAAGACAATAAAAAGCCCAGTTTTTACTTAACCGTATTAGATCTCATATAAATTACACAAAAGGCAACATTTCCAAAGCCATTGCTGTTCTGCATAAAATAAAGTTCTCACTAAATAGTACAGCATTAGTAACTTTGTATAACTCTATAATTGTACCATATCTGATGTACTGTGTGGAAATTTGGGGTTCAACATGTAAAACTTACCTACAACCTTTATTTATTTTACAAAAAAGGGCCTTGAGAATTATCACCAGCAGTCATTGTAGAGAGCCATCCAACCCAATATTTGTTCAACTTAAAGTGTTGAAAATGCAGGATATTGTTGACTTAAGTATCCTCAAAGTCATGTATAAAGCAAAGTGTAATTTATTACCTGTAAATATTCAAAAACTGTTTGAGATGAGAACAAACCACTACAATTTAAAAGGAACCTACATGTTTAAAAAACCCAGATTCAGAACCAAGGTTATGGAGCGAAGTGTCGCTGTGAAAGGAGTTCAACTTATGGAATAGTCTTGACAAAGAAATAAAAGAATCAAGTACAATGATGACATTTAAAAAACATATAAAATCGAATGCACTGTGTCTGTATGAAAAAGAAAACTAAGTTGTGTATATATAATGAAGATTTTACTGTTTGCAATTGATCAGTAATTGTGCCTGAACTGATATGGAATGTTTAGTGACGATCAGTGTTGATGTTTTGTCTTGAAAAAGGAAAGGGGGGCAGATAACATAAG